TTCATTAGCTTTGTAGGGGATAATACTCTATCTTCTATATCTTCCTGTTGTCCACGTGACTGTTTCTGATGTGACTGTTTCTGATTAATGCTAAGTATCGTCGTGTGTGTGTTTTTTTTTGTAAGTATTATTGATTGTGAAGTCAAACCCTTTAAGCTATATGGTGTTTTTGGTGTAAACGAATATTTAAAAATGAAGAAAAAGAAAAGCAAAAAGAAGTGGACGAAAGAACCAAGCCATGAAGTTCATGAGAGGATAAAAAAAGAGACCCATTTAAAAGATACTTGAAATTCAACTAGTTTCATGTGAGAAAGGCTTCAAACTTTTCTTTGCGAGAGATATGGGATGTGTTGTGATACACTTCAATGCCCACCTCATTTTTTAAAACTTTAAATCTCTCTTGAACATGAGCATAGTTCAGTAATAACACGTACTTCTTCTCTCGAGGTTGGAGTTCGATCTCCTATTTCTCCAAATTGTTGTATTAAAAAAGAGACGATTAATTAAATAATACTAAACATATATCATAGCTTTTTCTATCTCTCCATTATTAAAAGAGATGATTCGAACATGTTATCTTTAAAAAAGTTATATCTTTTAATAAATTGAGCTATAACCCTTTTTACGTGCACTTCTTTTCCTTTATTTCATCATTTCTATAACCCGTTTTTGTTGGATTTTGGCAAAATATTGGAATTAAAATTGTCCCACGAATACAAGGATGGTCTCCATGTGCTAGAAGTTGTCCCACATAAGAAAAGTACAAGGAGGAGATGTGTTTCAACTACTATAAAAGTAGCCCATGGGCGTGAGTTTTAATTATCCCAATTGAAATACTTTAAACATGATATACTAACTCTAGTTAACTGAGCGGTATTTCTGTGATTGTAATAATTTTTCACATAGTGGACTTTTCCTTGTGGGCCGTAGTTTTTTCTCCAGTTTTTTCCACGTTAATTCTTGTGTTTCTTTATTTTATTGCTTTTTTAAATTTCTCAGTTATTTTCTGCTTATTCCAAGTATGAGATTTTTTTCCAACAGTTTTAAGATTCTCTCATCTCACTCAATCTCAACAAATATTCCATCTTCTTTATTTCGGTTACTTTTGTAACCTTACTTCTAGAAATGTTGGTTAAGTAATTACTAACTGTTAAAAAAAAACTAATTACATAGAGAATGTCTTGATAGGATTATCAAACACATTATCAAATATATTTTTTTAGTATTAAAATACTCATAAACACACCCATTTTAAATTCGAGTATAATTCAAATTAATAACATATCTATTATCATTTTCAGGATGAACCGTTCAATCTCTGGTCCCACGATTATTAAACTAAAGAAAATATTGAAAAGATTCCCCAACATGCCTTTAGATGGAATCAAAGCCATTTGGGTGGCCGCGGAGAAAAGAAGCAAACCATTGGGCCGAGAGTTTGGGCCGGCGCTCAAGTGTGTGCCAGTCCACGTACAAAAGCCCAAACCTTGTGCCCAATCCATCGGCCCACTCGAAGTTGTCCATTAAGGACCATACAAAATACCCTCTCACGTCAGCACCATTCCTGTCATTAAATGTTATTAATTTCTTTATTTTTCAGTTCTAACACAAGGTATAGATAATATATTAATATGTTGTATAAAAAAAAGATAATATATTAATATTAAATCATATATTTAATAATTTAGTGTATTTATATAGTTGAGGAATACTTAGTCTCACGTGGGTAAAGTGTGAAAGATTTTAGGTTACATGGGAAGGAATAATTTATTCATTTGAACGTTTTGAATGAAAAATAAAAAGAAAACTCATGTAAGTTTAAATTTAAATTTATAGTCGGAAATATAATACTATTGTAGAGATATTTGTTGAGGGACGGTTACCTAAAAGCAAGTTTCTTAACTAAAAGAATAGTCAAATTTTTTGAAATAAAATAGAGTTGCCTAACGAAGGAAAATGAATTATTCAGAGCTCATTTGGTTCATGTTAAAGTTCTAAGTTAATCAATGTAAAATATATTTTATATTTATTATTCATTTTATAAGTAAAAAAAAGATAAAAGATAATGCTTTTAGGTATGTTTTAGAAAAAAATTGAAAATAAGAAACAAGAAACTTGATTTTGTTATTTTCAAAATTTTTACAATATTTTTTGAAAATATTTCTTAAAAAGAAGAAACGAGAAATAAAAATAATTATGGAATATTTATATTTTTCAAAAATAAAAAATAAAAAATAAGAAACGAGAAATGAAAACGTTAAAAAATAAGTTCCTACTTACCTCATTGCTCTAGACAAGGAAGCGAGGTAGCTCTTGTGAAATTTGACTCGTTGGAAGTCATTTACAATTTCCTCAACATTTTTACCTTCGTCAGGTGGCATAGAATATCCTATACAGAGAAAAACAATATATAATATCTTTTTTTAATATCTTAAAATTAGCTTGTTAATTAAAAAGAACTCTTAAATCCTTCGTAATATTCCATTACAATTTAAAAAGTATTTGAAGAAGATGTAATTTGAAAAATAAATCATCCGTGAGAAGTGAGAACACATTGAAAGAGTGTATTTTTCATATACTAATTTTCTTTTTATTATTCGTAAATAATTTATAATATAGTTTTCAAATAAGTCACTATTTTAACTT